GAGTGGTCGGGGGCTGCTGGCAGGCAGGGAAGCCTGCTTGAGAATGCTGCTTAGATAATGGCTCCTGGCCAGAGCCTCCCTCTGGCACCCTACCCCAACTCCCTTCCAGACCCTGAACTCCCTCCTTCTCACCTTCCCTGAGCCAGAATCCTCTCTTGCACCCTTGTCCCTTCCCCAAATTTGCACTCCAATGCCCTACTCTAGGTCATAACCACCTCCTTCACCCAAACCCCCTCCCAGAACCACTCCTTCTCCTAATGGCTCCTGGCCAGAGCCTCCCTCTGGCACCCTACCCCAACTCCCTTCCAGACCCTGAACTCCCTCCTTCTCACCTTCCCTGAGCCAGAATCCTCTCTTGCACCCTTGTCCCTTCCCCAAATTTGCACTCCAATGCCCTACTCTAGGTCATAACCACCTCCTTCACCCAAACCCCCTCCCAGAACCACTCCTTCTCCTGCACCCCAGTTCCTTATCTGAAGCTCCCTTCTGCACCCAACCTACATCCCAGACCCTGCACTCCCTACATAGGAAAGTACGGCCCTTGACCACTTACCAAAATTTTGGAGTACCCCCTCCTATCAAAATTATTGCCCACTCCTGTAAAACTGTAAATCTGAATACAATGGAAACAACTTCAACGCCCTACTTTCAGCACTTACATAAAATAAGTCATCCTTTGTCTGAAATTTGTACTGACTTTGCTAATGCTTTTTACTTAGCCTGTTGTAAAATTAGGCAAATACCAAGATGAACTGATGTATCCTGCATGCCCCCAGAGGTATACATACCCCTGGTTGAGTACCGCTGATCTAATCTGAGCTGTATAACAGGCCACAGGATTTCTCTGAATTAATTCCTGATTGAACTAGGGTTGCCAGATGGTTTCAACAAAAATACTGGACACACTTGACATTACATCACAATCTACATTACATCTGATTTAGAAAATACCAGACATTTATATTTTTCAATTTGTTTCCCGAACAGCAAGCGCTAATACTGGACTGTCCGGTTCAAAACCGGACATCTGGCAACCCTAGACTGAACTAGAGTAGATCTTTTAGAAAAACATCTAATGTTGATTTTAAAATTGCTAGTGCTGAAGAATCCACCACCCCGCTTGGTAAGTTGTTTGAATAGTTTATAAGTATTCACATTTATAGGCAATAATCAGCAATGATCTTTTTGAATGAAGGACGGTGCTTTAAGATAATTAAGTTGTACTGCTAGATGTATACAAGATGCTCTGTGCTTGACTGTACAGACACCTTCAAACAGTAGAAACTATCTCCTCTCACCTGATCTCTGTGAAATGCCACACAGAACTAGTAGAAACAGCTGAGGCCCAATGTTTGCACACTTGAAAGACTGTGTATCTATCTCGGAGAGACAGGTAGTAAAATATATGGATGAGGATTTCTTCTGGGATGTAGTTCCAAAATTCTGATGTTGGAGCATTCATCTTTCTTATCCAGCAAGCTTCAGCAACAAGAACCACCTTCCAGACTGCAAATAATTCCCTAGACTCCCTGTTGCAGAAAAAGGAAACGCATCAACTCATCTCTAGTTTGATATCAGGGTCAGAATTCTTTCTTAAATTTTGAACATTTCCACCAAAATTTTGACATTTGTAAAATGAAACAAAATAAATATCCAGGTGGCAAAGTTTGTAGATACAACATTACTCAAGATATCTAAGTCCAAAGCAGACAGTGAAGAGTTATAAAGAGATTTCAGAAAACTGGGTGACTAGGGAACAAAATGGCAGATGAAATTCAGTGTTGATAAACAGAAAGTAATGCACACTGGAAAACAATCACAACTATACATACAAAATGATGGCTTCTGAATTAGTTGCTAATTCTCAAGAAAGAGCTCATAGGAGACTGTGGATAGTTCTCAATGTGCAGTGGCAGTGGGAAAAAAATCTAACAATATTAAGAACCACTAGGAAAGGGATGGACAGACAGATAAGGCAACAGAAAATATCACGATGCCACTATATAAATCCATGGTATACCCACATCTTGAATACTGCATGCAATTTTGGTCACCCCATCTCAAAAAAGACAAACTTGGTCCTGCCATGGAGGCAGGGGACTGGACTCAATGACGTCTCAAGGTCCCTTCCAGTCCTAGTATTCTATGATTCTATGAAACTTGAAATGGTATGGAGAAGACCAACGAAAATGATTAGAGGGATAGAATATCTTCCATATGAGGAGAGATTAAAAAGACAGGACTGCTCAGCTTAGAAAAGAGATAACTGAAGGGGGACATGACAGAGGTCTACAAAATCATAAACGGTGTGGACAAAAAGTGTTATGTACCCCTTCATAACAGATGACCCAGGGATCACCCAATTAAAAGGCAGCAGCTTTAAAACACACAAAAGGAATGCTGTCAAGTATCAGAGGGGTAGCCGTGTTAGTCTGAATCTGCAAAAGCGACGAGGAGTCCTGTGGCACCTTATAGACTAACTGAAGTGTAGGAGCATAAGCTTTCGTGGGCAAAGACCCACTTCGTCAGATGCATGTCAGGAATGCTGTAAAGTTAAAAAACAATTAGATAAATTCATGGAGGATAGGCCCATCAATGATCAACATGATCAAGAATGCAAACCATGATGTGGATGTCCCTAAATTTCTGACTTCCAGAAGCTGGCTCTGGATGACAGAGGATGGATCACTCCATAGGGAATGGCCAGAACTGGGCAATTTATGAAGCTTCTGGCACTGATCACTGTTGCAAAACAGGATGCTGGCCTACATGGATCATTGTTCTGACCCAATATGGCCATTCTTATGTTCTTAAGCACACAAAAAAGGGAAGTTTAGACAAACTTGGCCTATTTCCTTCTTCACCACTCCATTTTTAGATCAAACATAGAAACTGGTTGAATTTTTTTGTGAATTCCAAATTTCAAAATTCTGGAAAAAAGTGAAGCATTTTAAAATGTGATTTTTTTCTTCATTGCCATTTTTAGCCCTAAAAGTTCAAAAACCAGAGGCCAGAGAAATGTCCTAATACCTATATTTTTAAAAAATCTTGTAATATTTAAGCCACTCATGAGGCCAAACTCATGATTTTTCAATGTTTGAGTATGGCAATACCGTAGCAGCCATGTGATCTTGTTAGGTATGTCATCTGCCTCTCACCCCATTTCTGACAGCTCAGCTATGCATTTTTCAGGTATTTAAAGTGTGTCACAAACAGGAGGGAGAAAAATTGTTCTCCTTGTCCTCTGAGGATAGGACAAGAAGCAGTGGGCTTAAACTACAGCAAGGGAGGTTTAAGCTGGACATTAGGAAAAACTTCCTAATTGTCAGGGTGGTTAAACACTGGAATAAGTTGCCAAGGGAGGTTGGGGAATCTCCATCTCTGGAGATATTTAAGAGCAGGTTAAATAGACATCTATCAGGGATGGTCTAAACCAATGTTTCCCAAATGGTGTTCCGCAGAACCCCGGGGTTCCGCAAAGTGAAAATAAGGGTTCCACTTGAAAATTCCATTACAATAACATTTCATTTTTTAAAATAATAATTAATATTTAAGCATTTATGAATTTTATTGAAAATTTTATTTTCATTTGTGTTTGCCACGATAAGTGTCCCTTTGTAATGCCAGCTTAGCCAGAGAGTGGGGACAATGATAACACTACTCAGCGTTGCGCGCAGTCAGTCAGTCAGTGGTGCGTTCGCCTGCTAGATACCACTGTAAATCCCCGTACTCACTCTCAGGAAGTGTGGATCATGTGGGACTGAATACGAATATACTAGCGCCGTGTCGGGCAAATTTGAAGCCTCAGCTGTCAAACCAGTTGCTTGCATGGTAATTACGCAGCAACAAAAACGAAATACAGAAATTGACTGAATGCCACACCAGATATGCGAATCCAACTTTCTAGTATTAAACCAAATATAAAAAGAATTTGCCAAGAAAAGAATAAAAAACATTCTTTGCATTGAAAACTGCCAATATAATGCATATTAGTTTTTTAGCTTTATTTTTTGTACACATTAAATGTGATTTTTGTTTTTAAATATGTGCAATTAAACTGAATGTTGATCTCATGACCTTGTTTAGCATTTGTTTATTATTAACCTTACTTATTTGTGGTCTACTTTTTCAGCTCTGTATATAAGACTTATTAGGGGTTCCACAAAATTCTTTTAAGTTTAAAAGGGTTCCATGGACAAATAAAATTGAGAAACACAGGTCTAGACAGTAATGTGTCCTGCCATGAGGGCAGCAAACTGCACTCCATGACCTCTTGAGGTCCCTTCCAGTTCTAGTGTTCTATGATTCCTTCATCCTGCCAGCCTAGGAGATGCCTTTTTGCTTTGTTTCCTGCACATTCTGGTTGGCTGTGTCTAGACTGGCCAGTTTTTCCAGAAAATCAGCCGCTTTTCCAGAAAAACTTGCCAGCTGTCTACACTGGCCGCTTGAATTTCCGCAAAAACACTGACAATCTCGTGTAAGATTATCAGTGTTCTTGCAGAAATGCTATGCTGCTCCCGTTCAGGCAAAAGTCCTTTTGCGTAAAACTTTTGCACAAAAGGGCTGGTGTAGTCAGCCCAGATTTGTTTTCCACAAAAAACCCCCGATCCGTGAAAAGCATTTCTGGAAAATCATGCCCCTCTAGACGTAGCCTTTAGTGTATCCCCTCTCACAATGCCTGGCACGGCGCCCCCTCCGCTCGCCTACTTTACCTCAGATTTAAGCATTTTATGGACGGGATCTCCAGCCCTAGAGGTTTTCAAGTCCCATCCTGAGCAAGCCCTGGCTGGGATGAGTCAGCCTGTGGGTCCTGCCCTGGGCAGGAAGCTGGGCTCCAGGACTCCGGAGGCCTCCCCCGCCCCAGGACTCTAGGGCTGTCTGAGTATTTCAGCACCAGACTGCGCCTCCCCCGTCACAGCTGCTGTGACTTTACCGTGAGCGGCGGTTTCTTAGGGCCCCGCGGCTGCCCGCGAGCTCGACGTGCACCAGGCGCTCAGACAGCAAGGGCGGGAGAGTGGGGGGCGGGGCTGGCCACACGG